GTTTGTTTTACAAGATAGTTTCCTTAGAAGAGAGTAGTTTGATCCAGGTGTTAAACCCTTCTTAAGTGAAAGTTATCTCAGATACATGAAGCTCTGTTTTTGTTAGTGATTGTAATAATTGGTCACATTTCTGAGGAAAGATACAAACTTTACAAGATATTTCTTCAGAAGAGAGTAGTTAGTTGTAAGTGTTATCAGTTTTGTTTGTTTAATCTTAAATTAACAGATATAAGTTCTGTTTCAGTCATCTTAATCTTACGCATATAGAACTTCTTTCGGATGTATTGATCTTTGTTCTGCTTGTTTAACCTTAATCTTAAGTTTTGTTTGTTAGTGAATGTTTTATTACTTATTTCGAACAGAATGTTTCAATCTCTACTTGCTCATCATCCGCTTATTTCGAACAGAATGTTTATGTCTTTTCGCTAATGAATATGTTATTATCGTGAGAGCTCTTCTTTCTGATTCTTCCCTCTTGGTTTTCTTGGAATTATGTGTTTGTTGATGTAGAGTCATGTTGTTTCGATGTTGACGTAATCCTGCATAATCGTGGATTCCAGCGGAGAGATATAGATTTATAAAGAATGGGAAGTTTTCGTTCTAACATGTTTTGATTTCTAAAAAGCGACTTTAATTCAAGATTAGTTATAAATCTTCTACAATCTGCACATATTACATCCGCCCGTAAAACCGTCGCCCCATCCAAGAAATATGTCTGAACCGGACTTGGCATGACTAACCACCCAAACCATTCATTCTTCAAGTAGAATGACCAATACCACTGTTCATTCTTCAAGTAGGACTTCGTCTTGATCATGTCTTCTACTACAGTTGTTGCCTGAAATAAAATATAAAAGGCATAGAGATATTAGAAAATCGAGCTTGTTCCGAATTTCTATAGAGATAGAGAGGAGGAAAGGTATCAAGGATCAAACCTCGCAACATGCCATGCTCATCTACAGTCTAGATGTGATCTCGATGGCCTTAAAGCTTCTTTAGGTAGTGCCACATCCATATCAAGCAAGTTCGTTTTAAGGAACATGGTTACGCGTTTCAAAGAAGCCACACAGCAGCCTTTTTAACCCACTACCTTAAAGATTTCTTCTTCTTTTGTTCTGCTCTGAGAAGCCAAAACCAAGTCCTCCCAGTTTATTCAGTGCACCGGCAAGATCATATCTGTGTAATGACACTTCATATTCAGAATTTAAGCCCTTCACCATGACTTTCAGAACCAGTTAAAATAACCTCATCTCAAGAACCACCATCTTCTAGCTTACTATATAACTGGCAGAGATGAGCACTGAGTCGTTAAGATGAGTAGAGGACGAAATGTTGGAATTCCATTTGAACCGATCAGACCTCTCTCTCTAACCAAATCTCTGTTTGTCACAAACTTGGAACAGATCTCCTCAAAATTGTATGGGGAAATAGATTATTCTTCTTGGTATCTTGTCAACCCAGAGTCTAAGTTTAACAACATTGGACATGTCAGCCACATTTTTGCCGGTGCTAGACTTAACAGATTTTAGGCTCTCTTCGGCTTTCCAAGATTCAGAGATTTCCTTCCCTTCCTCAGTTGCTGATGAATACGGATTACACTTACTCTCAGTGTGCTAGTTCGCAGAGTTTGGTATTCGGTGGGATCAAAGTAATAGCTTTACATTCCCGACAGAGAAGTTTTCTGGTGAAAAACTTTTGGACGTCCTGAATCACAGTCGCTAGAATCTCCACTTTGCGTTTATGTATATGAGGCGAATGCTTGGAATCCATTTTGCCATCCATGATTCACTGTTGCTCAGGACTTGCGGGTTGATAATAGAGTGGACTCGGAATCTCCTGTAAAGGAAAATAGGAAGCTTCTCTCATTTGCTGCTCCACATCTCCTTGGTTGGGTTGAATTACAAAATTAGATCAAAGTCTAGTGCTTGATTCCATTCCTCGAAAGTAATTTGTGCGAGGGTGAAGCCGATTAAGGGTGAGAATGCGGTTGGGTTATGGATCTCCAGACAATCTGGTTGAATGAAGCTTTTGATCCGTTAGGTTTTAAACATACCATCATAGATACCCTAAACAACAGGCCGGAGAAGAAGTATTTCTTGCAGAAAATTTTCGCTTATGCAATTAGGAATGACATGAGAGAGCCTCAGATACATAAACGCAAAATGGAGATTCTAGCGACGGTGACTCAGGACGTCCAAAAGTTTTTCACCAGGAAACTTCTCTATCGGGAATGTAAAGCTATTATTTTGATCCCACCGAAGACCAAACTCTACGAACTAGCTATGCTTTAGCAAACTTATCAGGAGGCACTGAAGGAACGAGCTAATGTAGTCAAGAAGACAGTTTTCTTAATCATGTCAAATGATCCCTTCTTCAAGGTTGGACTTGTGAAAAATTTGAGAGGCTTTTGATTCACGGTATTCACTGACTTATTCCCGGGAATGGATCCACATGAAATGACTAGACCTAGATGTATGATGTAGTTCTAAAGCCGTAGGCTTTTTCCAAAAGCAAATCAGAATGAGAAAAGCTTATGGCTTTAGAACTACATCCTACGTCTAGGTCTAGTCATCTTCTGTGGATCCATTCCCGGGAATAAGTCAGTGAATACTGTGAATCCTAAGTTTCTCAAATTTTTCACAATTCCAACCTTGAAGAAGGGATCATTTGACATGATTAAGAAAGCTGTTTTCTTGACTACGTTGGCTCGTTCCTTCAGTGCCTCTTGATAAGTTTGCTGAAGCATAGCTAGTTCGCAGAGTCTGGTCTTCGGTGGGATCAAAGTAATAGCTTTACATTCCCGACAGAGAAGTTTCATGGTGAAAAACTTTTGGACGTCCTGAGTTACCGTCGCTAGAATCTCCATTTTGTGTTTATGTATCTGAGGCTTTCTCATGTCATTCCTAATTGCATAAGCGAAAAATTTCTGCAAGAAATACTTCTTCTCCGGCCTGTTGTTTAGGGTATCTATGATGGTATGTTTAAAACCTAACGGATCCAAAGCTTCATTCAACCAGATTGTCTGGAGATCTATAACCCAACCGCATTCTCACCCTTAATCGGCTTCACCCTCACACAAATTGCTTTCGAAGAATGGAATCAAGCACTAGACTTTGATCTAATTTTGTAATTCAACCCAACCAAGGAGATGTGGAGCAGCAAATGAGAGAAGCTTCCTATTTTCCTTTAGAGGAGATTCTGAGTCCACTCTATTATCAACCCGCAAGTCCTGAGCAACATTAGAAAGTATATTTCATTAAATCCAAATCTAGTTGTTGAGCAATGCTTAGCCCATCAAGCATCTAAGGGAAATCTCTCAGCCAAGAAACACCGTCCATCTTCTGAAATTAAGGAGAATCTGACTCTGATAACATTCCCAGTCATGCATTTGTGAAGTAACTCACTGATCGATTCATCATCAGTGAAGCAAAGCAAAGCAACTGGTATCTTGAACTTACATCCATGTGCTCTAGGACCTCTGGCTTTTGCAGCACCTAAATCCCAAATGGGACCATGCCCCTTTTTGGTTAGAACAAGACACAGATCAAAAGCCAGCTGCAGCTTCTCAAGTAATAGCTTCCTCAACAGATGCTTCTGAAGTTTAGCAACCTCAATAAGTTCTTCAACATGTAGAAATGCCCCAAGATGCCTTGTGATTGCCATCTTAATAATCTCCATTGGTCTTTCACTTGTTTGAACTATACAGGTAGAGAGAAACCCCAAGATCGGAAAGCCTAACAATAATTGCATCAATAACAATAAGAAGCATGTATCAACCAATGGGGTAGTATAATGCTATTTCAAAGAGAAGTAATGTACAAGAAGTGACCTTACAAGCTCATTAAAACAAACATCCAGATTCACAAGATCTATGGGTTTGTGTATGGCATAAAAACTTGTGTGTGGCAGAGAAATTCGTTATCCAAGTATTTTTATAAAGAGAAGGTGATAAAGCTCCTCGCTTTATACACACCAACACCGAGATGGAACAAGTACAAAATCAACCCGACCTCTAACAGAGACAAAAGAACGAAGCCCTGCTTTCGAATCAACCTAAAATTTGGACAGCTCTGTGTAGGATTAGATATTTGAATAAGCCTGAGTGTTTGTACCTGTGGAAGACCATTTCTGGTCGGAATTAGTGGTAGACGATTGTCTTTTCTCGTCGGAAACTAGTCGGAGGGTTAGAAGAATGGAGGTCAATTTTCTCTCCAAGAGTTTGGGTTTAAAAACATCTTATGGGCTTTGAAGCCCATCATTTGTTCCCGTTACATGTTGGGTGTATTGGGTAAAAAAAAAAATTCATTTTTAGTGGAGAAACAAAATTGAAATACAATGAAAAATAAATCTGAAATTTGAGTATTAAATTCACATCATCTGAAGTTTGAGTATTAAACTGAAATACAACGGACAAAGACAATTGTCAATGACAGGATTCCACGTTCGAATGATCTTCACAATTATGTAATTTTAACATTCACAATTCTTCAATAAAAAATCTAAAATATTCGGTGGAAAAAAACTATAGTTAAATAAATTTTAAAACTCAATGAAAAAAACAAATTATCAGAAACTTGAGTACCAAATTTACGATATAATGTATTTAAGAAAATAAACTTGACATCGTTAATGTTCAAAAACAGGATCACACGTTCGAAATATTATTCCACAATATGATATAAATTTAGCACTCAAATTTTTTTGGTTAAAATCCAAAAAATATAAAATATTCAAATAAAATCATTTTGTCAAATCAGTTTTGAAATTTCGAAAACATCATTAAAGTCGAGAAATAGTAAATACCAGGCAGAATAATCATGAGAGCATGAAAAAAAAATAAAAATTAGTGAGAGACTTTGTAGTTATGATAAATAGAAGTTGTACCGAATCTTCAATGTAAAAATTGTCATTAGACTTTGTTGATGAAGCTTTAAGTAATCCATCGTGAACTAGATTTTCACTTTAGTAACCTTGCGCCAACGAAGACTTTGCTACACATTCACAAAATAAAAATACAATAAATAATTATACAAACTTACATCGATCTTTAGTCATTCTCTTTGTTGTGTTGCTGTTACTGCATCTAAAGCTTCCGGATTTGTTGAATTAAGGATTTATCCACCGAAGACTTCTAATAACGTCTGTAATCGAACCAATTATAATTGAATTACTCATCTCGTATATGTTTTGATGAATTGAGAAAAAAGAAAACCACAAAAACAGAATTACAACGATTGAGAAGGGATTAGTTGTTTGGATACTTACTTCATAATCGATGAATCTTGTTGAACTGAGGAAAAGAAAGATGAGAACAAGAGAAACATTATTAAGCTAAACATATAATTTATAGATTTTTGTTTCTGTTGGTCGAACAAACCAATTGATATATGGGTTAGAGATATTTATAGTAGAAAAATGTAGCCGTTTTAAAACAATTACCGTTTGAATAATACAATTAACGGCTAGTTTTGTATCAGAAATTGATCTTTGACAAGACCTCTTGCAATTTGCATTCAACAAGTGTCAACTTTAACGTCGGATAAAACACTCTTTCTCACGTTAGACTTTCTTTTAACTAGACTTTAAACTATCTTTCTAATTGGTTTTAATACTCACTCTATTGATATTTTTGTTTGGTAGATTTTGCTCTAAGAACCAGCACAATGTAAATACTTCATTCATATATGGATGGATTTTGTAAATGAATAATATTATATTTAGGTTAATAGTCTAAGTTGAATCAGCGAGTGAAGGTAATACCTTTTCCAGTAAATTTAACTTGCTTCAGTGACAAGGAACCCTATAAACATCTCTTCTCTAATTCACCTCTCATTGATTTCCTCCTAACACATTTTGTGTGATTTCTATCGACCCAAAAAATAAGTAAGAAGAAGATCGTTTACTTGGTTATAATCAATGAGTTTCATAATCTTAATTAGATAGGAGATGCGTAGGTCATTTGTAGCTACGATTCCCTTGTTATATATTCATCATCCTCGACAAAGTACAAGGATGGTGTATACTTGTAGTAGTCTAAGAGCATGATTATAGGTAGTATATATGTTGTGGTAATATATGAATTTTATAATATTAATTGTATTGGGATTAACATTAAAATCCCAATTTATTTTGTTGTTGTTTTTTGTAATTATAGGTAGTAAATATAGAGGGGTTCTAAAAACAATAAAAAATTATGAAATTGTATTTTTTTAAAGTTAAGTTTATTTTCTTAAAATTGATAACATAGTACATTCAATAAAACATTGTAGCGACAAATATATATATCACAAAAGTTCAAAATATATTTAAATTTCATGTTGCTTCAGCTTTTGTAAACTCAATCTCGTCCATTCCTTCACTTGTGTACCAATGCAAGAAAGCCTTCCTCTTTAACAGAGATCGGGCCATAGGCATGAAGAAAGTAATCGTTTCCTAGTAGGTGGGACAATGATTCATACCTGCAAAATTTGAGTCTCAAAATTCGAGTCTCAATAGTTCTTGGTATTCAAAGTAAGTTTCGTGTATCAAGCTCCTCATTGTCTTCACTTCAATAGAATAATCTCTACCTAAGAATCAAGATCAACACATGTATCAAGCTCCTCATTGTCTTCACTTCAATCTATGAAGTAAGATCCAGCCATGGTAAGAAGTCCAATTAGCATATTCAAACATGTCAAAAGAAGAATGCAGATCATTTGCTCATCCACAACATTTCGATTTTGGGTCATGAATCAACTAATTTTCATCAAAATGTTCATCAATAAGTATGTAACAGTGCCAAAGTAATCAATATCTTTCTTCACACATTATTCTTCTCCTTTCAGTTTGATGATTACCATAAAACTAAGGAAGATAATTTTGAGTTTGTCTTTGAAACAAAGTCTTATCAAGTCATTAAAAATCTTCAGATCTAGAAATTCTCACTACTAGCATGCATCATCATAGCGCAATGATTATATCCCCAAATACTAATCTCAACGAAGAGAGAGATTGAGAAGTGATGATACGTACAACTCCTCTTGCGAGCAGCAGGGTAAGGACAAGCAGAGCAACGACTCTTCTGAATATGGAAACTGCGACGAACACATTTCACACAGAGTGTGTGACTCTTGTTCCTCCTCTTACCGAAACTTCTTGTTCCCTTAGAAATCCTCAAAAACAAAACAAGCATCAGTGAATTGAAATCATCAACAAGAACATAGATTATAGCAGAACCCAATTATTTTCACATGCAACAACCGTAATCAAAATCCTAATTTCGATTGCTTCAATTCCCAATTCTGTCCACAAATTAACTCATAGCAGAACACACAATCAAAGATATCTTACCAGGACAGAGACTTCGATTTCATGAACTTCTCAGGAAAACTGATTTATTTCATGAGCCGTAAATATAGTATTAAATATATTTTGATTTATTTAAATGGGTTTAATTCTTAATATTCTATTATATTTACCTATGTACCTACTCATAATCATGTTCTAAGACGCTTTCGGTCCACCGGTTGTCCCTAAAACTTCCCAACTATTCGCTCCTGTATTTAAACGTATAAGCGGGATGAGTGAGCCTGTTGTCAACAAGGGCCAAGAGGTAACAACTTCTCTTTACTCATTTTGTTCAAAAATCTGATCTTGCAATAATAATCTCGTTGCTGACACTGCTTTGTACTTGTAAATTGGCAATGCATTTGAAACTTGTAGATTGCAGAAGATGTGATCGAAAGATGGGAAACCAGCGATAATCCGATTGTTCACAAGATTCAGGAGTATGCTCTAATTGCTCCATTATCATCTTCCTTTTAAAAAAACCAACTTACGTACTCAAACTG